AAGTTAGAGACAATGTGACTGCAAAAATAAAATTGGGATTACCATGTTGGGGAAGGAGAAAAGAATAGATTGGTGTAATTTGTCATGATCAGATTATCTCGAGACTTTCCTGAGCTATAAACACTTTGGTGTGCCAGTGGAAATTATTTCAAGCCCTGTAAGCTTTTCAAAGTACTGATTATGCAACAGGATTCAGAAACAAAAACAATAGGTCATTTCTTACTGTTTTCCTAGTGGTAATATCTTTCTAATGTTTTTTTTAAAGTCTGGAATTCTCTGGTGGGCTGAGAACAATGCAGGTTTTGGTTTGGGGTTTTTTGTGGTTTTTCTGAGGAGGGAAGAACAGAGAACTTCTTAATAGCAGTTAATTTTTATTTTTACTTTTTAAGGTCTCCAAGAAATGACTTGGAGAGAAAATAAACTTTCTACATTTATTGAGCTCTGTTATACCAGTCTGTCGTAAAGGCCAACACCTGTTTGAATGGATCTGTAAGCTAGTGAAGTGATACTGCTCGATACTGGATGCATTCTCTGTATACAAGTGTATTTTGGAAATTCAGCAGAGAAATAAATGATTGACTGAATGTGGGAAGTACTTTACCCTTTGTGCTTTTCTTGCCCGTAGTGTCTCATGTACACATATGTATCATATACATACAGGCACAGATAAAGGGCTTTATCTCTTGCTGGCAGCTTGTTGAGATCGTCATTTTATGACTCGTGTTTTAGTTGCTGATGTTTAGCTTTGACAGCCCCTGTCAACTCTACAGAACGTTTGGTCTCCTCTAACGTATGTGGACCCTAAAACAAGAAGCGCGAGATGGCAGCATTGCTATCGGAGAACCGCCCCTTCCCCTGCGTGAATTAGTCTGCTCCTGTTCTTTTGCCGTCGGAGTAGGTTTTTCTCTTGCCATTTGGTGGGGTTTTTTGCCTTTCTTTCCCATCCTTCCCTGTCTTTTGCAGGTACCTACTACACCTACGTCAGCTGACTTGGGTTTGTATGTCTGAAGGCCGGCTTTCAAGCGTTTATTGTCATGGCGGTGCAGAAAAGGTCATGAGCTATATCAGTAATGCCCTTGCTGCTGCAGCCAAACAATTGCAGAACATACTGTAACTGCGTTGCTGGCATCCGTGTGTATTTACGGTCTTCCGTGTTGTTGGATTTCTGCTCAGTGACAGGGATTCAAATTACAGTTAGTTCGCTTCAGGGGCGTTTATTCTGCTGGAGATCCCTGCGATGCCAAGGCAGCATTTTAAGCTTGTTGGGCGCTTAGAACGCTGCTAGGACCATCTCATTTGTTTAGTACTGGCAACTAAATTGTTATTTATATTGTGGTAATGCTTCAGATTCTCACTCAAGGGCCAGGATTTCTTCTTCCAGCGTCGAACAGACAATGCTTGAGTAGATGAACCTTGACCTTGGCAGTGTGCGTTCTGCCATGTAGTGTGGCATCAGTATGTCTTTATCTTCACTGGAGAAATGTGACCTGTAACATTGTTTGTATGCTTAGTTTCTTAGTGCTTGCAGGAAATTTGTGACTGAATAATTTGTGACACTTTCTGTATTTTAATTGGCGATTTTTCCACCTTGTGGCATCAGTTCTTCTTGTTAGTCTCAAAGTGCATGAGTGTGTTTTGTATAGTTGGTTCCATTACCCCTTATTCTGTTACTCTGTTCCTCAACGTTATTTGGTGATTTCATTCTTTAATATTGTTCTCCTGTACTGACAATGCCTCCCAAATGTTAAGCTTTGGCAGATATCTTCAGGACGTTGCATTAAACACGCATATATTTGCACACGTATTTATATGTGTGTGTGTGCTTGGGCACATGTGTGTGGGAATACATGATGAATTTTAAAAAGGAATTCACCGATGTGTCACAAGTGGCAGTTTAATCCCAGACCAATTCTTGAGGAACTGTCCCAGTGTCTAGCTTCTGCATGGGTGGTCATCTTCTCATAGCTTGTATTTAGCCGGACCATTAATCACAGTTTCATCTGTATTCATTCCCAGGTTTTTCAGCCCAATTTGTTTTCATCTGTGCCTTACTGAATACTTGCAGAAATTCTGATAGATTACCTTTGTTTAAAGAACCAGTTCTCTTAACAAATATGTAGGTGACTTCACTGACTTCTGGCAAATATCCAAACAGTGTGTTTCCAGTTCAGGATAAAAAAACAAACAAACAAACAAAAAAACCCCAACCCAAAGTTAAAGCTAGCTGGACAAAATAAATAGGATAGAACAAGAGAATGTGAAGAAAGATTGTATGAACTTGAAGATCATAGAATCACAGAATGGTTTGAGTTGGAAGGGACCTTCAAGATCACCTGGTTCCAACCCCCCTGCCATCAGCAGGGACATCTTCCACCAGCCCAGGGTGCTCAGAGCTCCATCCAACCTGGCCTTGAACCCTGCCAGGGAGGGGGCAGCCACAGCTTCTCTGGGCAACCTGGGCCAGGGTTTCACCACCCTCATGGTGAAGAATTTCTTCCTAATATCTAATCTATATCTCCCCTCTTTTAGTTTAAAGCCATCACTCTTTGTCCTGTCCCTGCAGGCACTTGTAAAAAGTCCCTCTCCAGCTCTCTTGCAGGCCCCTCCAGGCACTGGCAGCTGCTCTTGGGTCTCCCCGGAGCCTTCTCTTCCCCAGGCTGACCAGCCCCAGCTCTCCCAGCCTTTCCTCACAACAGAAGGGTTCCAGCCCTCGGATCATTGCTGGGGCCTCCTCTGGCCCCGCTCCAACAGCTCCAGCTGTCCTGTGCTGAGGGCTCCAGAGCTGGACGCAGGACTCCCGGGGGGGTCTCAGTAGAGTGGAGCAGAGGGGCAGAACCCCCTCCCTTGCCCTATGCCCACGCTGCTGGGGATGCAGCCCAGGGCATGGTTGGCCTGCTGGGCTGTGAACGCACATTGCCGGGTCATGTTGAGCTTCTCGTCAACCAGCACCCCTAAGTCCTTCTCCTCAGGGCTGCTCTCAATCCCTTCATCCCCCAGCCTGAGTTTGTGCTTGGGATTGCCCCGACCCACGTGCATGACCTTGCACTTGGCCTTGTTGATCTTCATGAGGTTCACATGGTCCCACCTCCCAGGCCTGTCCAGGTCCCTCTGGGTGTCATCCCTTCCCTCCAGCGTGGTGACTGCACCACACAGCTTGGTGCTATCAGCAAACTTGCTGAGTGTGCATGCGATCCTACTGTCCATGTCACTGGCAAAGATGTTAAACAGCACCAGTCCTAGCACTGACCTCTGAGGAACACCACTCCTCATGGGTCTCCACCTGGACATTGAGCCGCTGACTGCAACTCTTTGAGTGCGACCATCCAGCTAATTCTAAAGCCGAGATCAAAAAGCAGATGCTCCCTTCCCCTTCCACCGCCCTTTCTCAGCATGCTGGTTTTTGACGCATTCGATTTCTTTCATTTTAATACTTCTTAGACTCTATCAGTTGAGTTGGCCACCCAGGGTGTGGAATACGCAATGCCCGTCTGCCTTCCTGGGGAGAACCAGGATAAACAGGGTGTGGAGATGTACTGCGGATGGTAATTCTCATGTCGCTAAGAAATGCAGTGCTTGAAATACTACCAGC